TGGCATTACCCAACACATGCCAAACAATCCAAGAATTAGATTCCAACAATCGTACGCCATAGGGCAATGCATAAGAAGATGATTAACAGATTCCCCATCTTGCTTACAAAGGCAACACCAATTAACAATACAATTTCCCCTCTTCCTCAAATTATCAATCGTCAGAATCTGACCCCACACAGCTGTCCACACAAAGAATGCCACCCTCGTTCAACTCCTAGTCCTGAAATGACCGCCTAAAGTGCACATTCCACGTAATTCCACTATTATCAAGCCGATAACAGTCAATCACGTAAGCATGTTTGTCAATTGCAATACTGTATAATCTGGGAAATGTGCGAGATAATAGCTGATCCCCACACCAAAGATCTTCCCAGAAACGGACGCATCTACCATCACGAACTTTGAATCTAATATGAGGAGAAAAAGCATCCCATCCCTTCCGAATGGATTTCCAAGCCCCAACTCCTCCCATAATAGAAACTGGGCGTGTAGTCCAACCGCCAACGTCTTCCCCATACCGACACGATACTAGCCTTCGCCAAGGATGTTGCCTTTCCTTCCTGAATCTCCATAACCATTTGCCCAACAGAGCTTGATTAAAAGGAATCAATCGTCTAATACCAATACCACATAGGCTTGCAAAGTCGCTCCCATCTGACAAGGTGATACTTGAACTCTTCTCCCCTTCCGCCCCAAAGAAAATCCCTTTGAATTTTTTCAATCCTTTCAGCAATGGAGCAAGGAATTTGGAGCATAGAAAGAAAATATGTGGGAAGACTAGATAAAGTGCTCTTAATAAGAGTTACTTTGCCCCCCTTTGATAAATATTGCTTTTTCCATCATGTCAACCTCTTTGCATACCTGTCGAGCACAGAGTCCCAACTCCCCACTAACCTTGAGGAGACCCCTAAAGGTAAACCCAAATAAAGAATAGGAAAGGAACTAACCCTGCAACCAAGTACTGCAGCCAAAGAAGAGATATCCTGAACAGTCCCAATCGAGACAAGCTCACTCTTAGCCACATTAACCTTTAGCCCAGAAACCGCCTGAAAACATACCAAAATGCACCTCAAATATCTAAGATAAGACACATTTGCATCACAGAAAACCAAAGTATCATCTGCAAATAGCAAATGAGAAATCTCCACCTGATGGTCAATATCTCTTCCCACTCTGAATCCCTTAATGAACCCAAGATTCTCTGCCCTGCGCACAAGTCTGCTAAGGCCCTCCATGACAATAAGAAAGAGGAAAGATAACAATAGATCACCTTGTCTTATTCCCCGAGAACACCTAAAAAAACCAGCAGGAGAACCATTCACAAGAATTAAAAACTTGACAGACGAAAGACATGTCACAATCCATTTCCTCCACTTACTTCCAAACCCCATTCTTTGTAACAAATAGAGGAGAAAATTCCAGTTAACATGATCATAAACTTTCTCAATATCAAGTTTGCGTAGAACTCCAGGAACACCATTGCGCAATCTTGAATCCACACATTGCAATAAGAACTGAATCAAGAATTTGTCTACCTCCAACAAAAGCATTCTGGGAGTCTGAGATAATCCCGTCCATAACTTCTTTCATCCTTTGAGCAAGCACCTTAGTAATAAGTTTGTAAATACAACCCACCAAACTGATAGGACGAAAATCCTTAATGTCAAAAGCGCTTCCCTTCTTAGGGATAAGGGCAATAAATAAGGCATTTAGCGACTTCTCAAAGACACCAGAAGTATGAAACTCCTGAAAGGTACCCATCACCTCACCTTTCACAACCGTCCAACTTTCCATCAAAAAACACAGTGAACCCATCAGGCCCCAAAGCTTTATCCCCATTACAGTTTGACAAGGCTTTTAGAACTTCTTTAATGAAAGGAAGCTCTAACACATCTCTCTCCAACTCAGAGATAGCCTTAAAAGGGAGTCCATCAAGTTTGGGTCTCCAACCTAAAGGTTCTGTGTAAAGCTTCTGATAAAAAGAAACTATCCCATTACACACCTCTTCCTCCCTCCACAACTCCACGCCTTCCACCCGAATGCGTCCAATGTGATTACTCCTTCTATGAGCATTAGCTAATCTGTGAAAAAAAATTGTGTTACGATCCCCCTCTTTCAACCAAAGAGCCCGAGATTTTTGACACACGAAATCTCTTCCATACTAGCAATCTCAGCAAGAGCTGCCTGACAAGAAGTTCCCCTAGAGCAAAGAGACTCCATATCTCCACCCACCTCCTCAAGACGATCAATCTCAAAAAATTCAACAAGGACTCTATTCTTTCTCCATTCAAGATTCCCAAAAACATCCTTATTCCACTGCTTCAGATTGAATTTGAGAGCTCTTAACTTCTGTGTTTATATGAAGCTGGGTGCTCCTATAACCATCGCTCCATCCCACCAAGATCGAACTTTCCCTTGGAAATCTTCTGATCTCAACCACATATTCTCAAATCGAAACTAGTTTCTACGAGAACACAAGCCCCCACAATCCAAAACCAGAGGAACATGATCTGAAACAACCCTTGCTAAGATTGCTTGAACAACATCCGGGAATTTTTCTTCCCACTCCCCAGAGATCAGAAATCTGTCCAATCTTGAGAGAGTAGCTGGATCCCTGCCACTAGACTAAGTAAAGGCTGCGCCTTCCATTGGTAGATCAATGAGAAGATGCTCATCAATGAAGTCAGAAAACTGATCCATATCTAAAGACCTCCTTTTCCCAGTAGACCTCTCTGACGGGGACCTAACAGAATTGAAGTCCCCACCCAAACACCAAGGGAGAGGCCACATTCCTTGAACATGGCTTAGCTCCTCCCAAAAAATAGGTCTATCATTATCAACAAGCAGTCCATAGACCCCAGAAAAGACCCATCTGAAATCATCCTCTTCAATTTTAAATTCACAAGAAACAGAAAATCGCCCCATCCACACATCCATTCTAGACAACCATCTGCTATCCCACGTAACTAAAATTCCTCCCGAAGAACCTATAGCATCCAAAGCTTCCTATTCCACAAATCTTCCTCCCCACAAACTTTTAACCACCCCGTTAGAAATGGATGCCAACTTGGTTTCTTGCATACAAACCACCTAAGCCCCCCATTTCCTTAACGCTACCTTCACCACCCTCCTCTTATTCGGGTCATTAAGACCACGAACATTCCAATTAATAATTTGTAGCTCCATTAATAACCAGATAAGAGTAACTCCCCTCCCCCCTTCTTTAAACTCCTACTTCTGGTCCTCCCCCTTTCCTTCACCACCCCTTTCTTCCCTTCATAGTTAACTTCAGAAATTAGATTCTTGATCTCCTGTGCCCCCTTCCAAGACGATAGAGGCCTAGCATTTACCTCAGCGGTCACAGCAATCTCTCTTTCTTCCACTATATCATGAAGGATAGATAAAGTCTTGTCATTATTACCCTCTGATGAGACACCCAACAGCTCGCTAATGGCTCCTATATTATCAATCACCCAGTCCTTTCCCATATATGCAAAAGAGTCAGGTTGCAAAACACCCAAGGGTTCCACATTGGCACATTCATCCTCCAACCAAGGGGCTAGCTCATTAGAGTAAATCTGTTGGATAGAACTGAGGTCATCATCGTTTTCAACATCTTCCCCATTATCAAACACCGAACCTGTAACATAGTCTTCTACTCCATTAGCCAAATATCTAACAGGTGCATTCTCCTCTGTCCCTGTAGTTGGCAAACAATTAAGACCTTCTAAAGCGACACGCATGAGACTAACAGATTCATTCTCCACATCCCCTTCAGAAGGCAAGCGAAGGCCTTTTAAGGCTACATGCAAACGGAGTTCTTTAAATAGAGCTGAAGCCTCAACATTAGATAACTGAAAATGGAGATCCCTCCCACATAAACCGTAACCCCCTCATAAACCGTAACCCCCTCAGATGAATCCTTAACTGCGCATTCCCCTGGATCCTCATTCCTTGAATCAGAACAGAAAGCAGCCCTTCCTTCCGTATTCGATCCTACCTCAGCTTCAGGTATAACTGAGAGCGCATTGCACTTCTCCTTTACCAATTCAATTTCCTTCCTCACCACCCCACTAGAAGGAGGAGGAGAAGAAGACGAAGAAGCGTAAGGAGGTCTTTTGAGATGGTGGATAGAAGACATACCTGGAGCATTAGTAGATGTCCATTTCTACCTTTCTTTCCTGGACCATCTAGCTCCATGATTTATTCCGTGAGAGTCCTGAACCAGGAGTCTGGTACCGGCACAACACTAAGAGTGGCGAGAATCCTTCTCAACAAATTCTACACCTGTCTCGGCTGTAGAGAGATCCATCCATCTCCTCTTCTGCGGCGAATTCCAAAAATTTGCAGAGATGCCATCGAGGCTTCGACTCTGCGTATTGCTACGCCCTGTGGTTGGGCTAGACTTATGATTAAGAAAAGAAACCGAAGTAATGTTATTGGGCCCCCGCATAACCTTTCTTTTTGGGTTGCTCACTTTTGGCCCGAGTTTGGGCTTGGCTAGAGTTGGTGGGCTGGGCTTCTCATTTGGAAATGATAACTGGTTACTAGGCCCCTCCTTAATAGCCCTCTTGAACTCCAGTGGGCTGTGGTGAACCGACCCATTTGGTTTAGAGCGCGCTTCAGGCCCTCGTTTAGGCCCAACAGAGGCCACTGCATGACTGGCTCCTTTAAAGCCACGATCTCGTCCGTGTGGATGGTAACCGTTGGAGCGATCATTACAAGATGAAGATGGGCACTAATTGAGGGCGTTATTTGACTACCCAATGCAAAAGAATAATGTAGCTAAATTTATTAAAGGATAATGATTCTCTAAGCCTTAAAACCTAACCAAGAAGCCTAGCCAAGGAATTTTCATCAATCCATTATAGGTTAAAGTTTTAGATCTATGTAGCATTGACCTTTTTTAAAACCTAAAATAAGTTGGCCATCACACTATCTAAAAAGAAGCGAATGAGGCAAAGCAACATTTTTCATATCAGAACATGAACAAAAAAAAAAGGCATTAGTTCTCCAAGGTGATTTAGCATCACTGAAACATCAGACGCAAAATTACCCATTTGTTATGAGATTCATCATATGCCCACGAAAAAGAAAATAAGAACATAAACATACTCACACATAGATACATACATACAAACATATATTATACAAAGATTTGAGTTTGTGTGTGATGAATTGTGTGTTTGAATCTCATATGCCCATGAAAAAGAAAATAACATAAACTTACGTACACACAGATAGATACATACATATATATATATATATATATATATATATATATATATTATATTATACAGAGATTTGAGTTTGTGCGTGATGATTTGTGTGTGTTTTGGATCTGGGAAGATAGAGACGATCAGAACCTGTCGGGATTCATTATTAACATCACATAGTAATATGTCAGTGGATTGACAGACCAATGAATTTCTTCGTCACCTCATCTTTTTCCCCCCAAATTTCAGATAAAAAAACTAATCACAAAATCAGAAGAAAACATAAAATCACTAGCAAAAAAATAAGAGGATTTAAAACTAGATTAGAATAATAGTGGATGAGTTTTGTGCTCAGAACTTCTTAGAGGATAGTGTGCCATCACAGACACTGTCATGAGAGACACTATCTTTGGAACACAAAAATTAGTTCTTCACAGCACATCATGTCTATCAAATATTCAAAAAAAAAAAAAAAAAACCTTATAAAAACAATATATATATATATATATATATATATATATATATATATATAAGCAAATCCAACATTGGAATAACTATCTCAGAAAATCTTCCTTCTAGAAAACTTACTTTACTGGTAAAAACTCCATTTCTGCGCAAGTCTCTTTTCTTATACCAGAATCATAAGGTAAGATTGTAAACAAATTTCTAAATAGCATGCAAGATGATATTGTGTCTTTCGATGAACTACTATCTGTGTTGTTAGGAACATGTGCATGTGAGATAAGGTCACCTTTCTTTATTATATTCATTTTCATCTTTTATATTCTATTTATTAATATATATTTTTAAATTGCAAAGCAAGTTGGGCAAGTCCAGCTTAAGTAGCACTCGATGGGCCTTTACCCATTTAGTGGACCTCACTTGTTGGGCGAATGACCATTGAGCACTGGGCATTTGTTCAGCAAGTGGGAGACACACACTGAGCAATAGCCCAGCGAGCAAAGCCAATACCCCAAAACCTAGAAAAATGATTGGCAATCCTTTTGATCATCGAATTATTCTAGGAAGTAAGATGATCATGAAGCAGTTCTGTTTGATAGTTGTTCAGTCCTAAATGTCTACAAGTTACTATAATTTCTTTTTCTTTTTCTTTTTCACTCAAGATAAGCCAAAAACAATTCCAAACAAGACCTTAAACATAACCATTCCATTCAAAATACCCGTACCACAACTGACTAGGACTCGTAACACATGTAAAAATAGAATAATTGGCTAAATCATTACCAACCAACAGTACCCACTAAAAGAGGCAAGTACCTGCAGATAGCAACTTCTATCTACTGCTCAATCTAGAAGAGGGCGAATCTCTAAAAAAAATTAAAGAACAATTAGATATAAGTAATGAAACCCAAACAAAATTATTCTAAACTATAAAGTACTGACAAAATGAATAATTCCCAAATTTAATACTTACATGCTAATAAGTAACCATTTGAGAATTATTAAGTAATGCCTTTCTTATAATGAATTATTTTATACTAAACCAACTTTGCACTTTAAATTTGCTACCAAAATCCCTGATTGGAATTTGTTTATTGCATCTAGAGAGTGTTTTGGCCAATGGCAAGTCTTTATGGACAATGGCTTTCACTTGGTGTGGGCTCCTCCATTTGGTGGAGCCCACACCAAATTCCACTCCACACTCCACAAGTGGAGTGTGGTATACTAAGGCCCCAAAGTGAACCCTTGTGTATATTTTTGTTTTTTTAAAAAGATAAGTGATAGTGTGTGGAGCCTAAAAATAATAAAGTGGTGAGCGGGAGAGAGCACTAGGAGGATGGACTCTCCAAATAAAGTGTAGAGCCAATTTTTGCAAACGGGATGCTCTAAACCCTAAAACATCTTCTCCGAGAGCCTACATAGAGATATACACTCTAGTCCTACACATTTTATATTTCTAGATTCCCACGAATTTAGGCTTAGAAATCTCATAAATAAAATGATGTGGTAACATACACAAAGGCCGGTACTTTCTTCCAATCTTCAATCTCACATTTAGAGCATCCTGTGTGGAAGGATGCAAATTGGCTCCACAATTGCTAACGTGGCTCTACACTTTTTTTTTGGAATGTCCTTCCTCTTGGTGCGCACTCTTTTCTCCCATTCTCCACTTTATTATTTTATTATTTTTTGGCCTATACTTTTTATTATTTGTCTCACACACCACCACTTTTTATAAATAAAAAAAACACAAAATATACACAAGGGAATGGTCATATATCAAGGGCGCTACTCCACAAGTGGAGTGTGGAATTTGGTGTGGACAACACCAAATGGAGAAGCCCAACCCAAGGGATTTAATTCGTTACACTGCAAGCCATTGGCCGAAAAGGCTTATGATGCTCTTAGATCGTAGGAACTCCAAGCCCTTGCTTGCTAGATCTCCTCTTCCTTATATCACATTATTGATCCACCAATCTTCAATGTCCAAAGATGTCATTTGTAATAAAATGAGTATTTGACGTTTTGGGAAGCATGAAAACTCTTGATGCAGAGATGAAAATCCTTTTCAAAAAAAACTTTCAAGAATGTATCTCCTTCAGCCTTCAAGCTCTATGTTCTCCTTTCCGTGATCTACTTTCTCACTTCTGTTTATATACTAAATTGTTTTGTGTCCCTCGAATCTGTGCTCGGACTTGATCACCCGTGGCTTTAGAATCGAGGGGTATCATACTTAGGTTCTAAAAGTTTTTTTAAAACTCAGAACCTGAGTTCTCCATCTCCTATTACATATCGTACATATCTCTCCTATGAAGTTTATCTCCAAGTTTTCTCTCCATGTTAACACCCCATGATACTTGACATTCTCCTTCCAGATTTGCAGGCAATATTGAGGTAAAGATCTTCTTCTTCATCCTCTCTCCATTGTTTCCTCCTTAGATAATTAAATTTCTAGATCTAGAGTAGGAGAGCATGAGTTTCTCTTTGAATGAATGATTCTTTGGATTTTTATACATCCTCTACATATATTAGTTGTTTAGACTGCGTTTTGGTTGATTTACACATTGATTTCTGATATCTGTTTTGGTGCAGTTCTAGGTAGAGCTCGAGCTCTGTAACTTAAAGCTTGAGCATTAGTTGAAGCTCGAGCCCAGAAGGTCAAGCTCGAACCTCAGTTTCCAGATTTCAGGAATTGGAGAGTTTTGGGTGATTTTAGGGATTTTCTTGAAAGAGACTATTAATTGAAAATAGAGATGGTTTGTCCTGCTCTTTCTAAGCGTGCTAAGGTGACTAAAGATATTTTGCTAAGTGCTTGGAAGACAATTCCAATTTCTTATGAGACGACTTTTGATTATCAGGCGTTCATTACTGATCCTCGCATTAAATGGGCCATGAAATCCTTTAGTTATACGCATCTTTTGCATCTTATGGTCCTTATTACTCAGATTGCTTATCCTCATCTTGTTCGGTTGTTTTATCTTAATCTTGTTTATAGTGAGGATGACCCTTGGGAGCTTAGGACTATGATCGATGGGCATGAATTGATTGCTAATCCGTGTGCTATTGCTGCAGCTTTAGAATGTTATCATACACTTTTTGAGGTAGTAGATCAGAGGCGTAGCTGTCCTAATTTCACACATTTCCATAGGGTACCAATTGCAGAGAATTTGATTCAAAAGCTGTATGATGGTCGATTTGCCAGGAGAAAGTGTAGTAGTATTACCAAGGCAAAGATTCCAAAGAGGTTATGGATTCGAGATTCTATTATCTTTACTAATGTCCATCCTCTTGGGCATAAGAATATTAGGAATACTGATTTTTTCCATGCATTTTTTGCTATTCAGTTTGAGCACTGGTATTCGTTTCCTAGGATGATTTTCTATCAACTATTGGAGTTCTGGTCAGAGATTGGACCGCATAAGACAGTTCCTACCCATATGTTACATTTTCCATATATGATTACTAGGCTATTAGAGCTACATGGTTTTGAGGTAGGTCAAAAAGAGGAGTCTTGGGATGAATCCCCAAAGTTTGGAATGAAGGAATGGAATAAAGTGTGGACACATATGCTGGCACATCGCCGTAATGCGATAGAGTATGGTGATGAGGGGTATATAGCAGTTACTGCTAGGCGCCCAAAGGATGATGACGAGGCCACAGAGGATGAGATGGATCTCTCTGATAGCCAGGCCCTACCTAGGAGGAGGCCAGTTCCTGCAGCACAGCCTGAGAGTTCTTCTCAGGCTGAGATTAGAGAGCTTCGGGCCAGGGTGGCCGAGCTGCAGGACGGACAGATGGTGATGAGGCAGATGTTGACTATGCAATGGAGTATTTTAGAGGAGTTATTGTGTCGCACTCCATCCACTTCTTCTACATCTACTGACACTCCTCCACCTCAGATAAATTAGCTACCTAAGGCTTTTCTATATTTTCTTTATTATAGGCATTTTTGTTGATTAGGGCAGTCTTTTGGATGTATTTATTTCTTTATGCTGTATATCTGCCTTAAGTCTATTATTTTGAAAGCATTGTACTGATCTTTATCATTTATATAGATATTTTTTCCCTATACTATCCTTGTGTTCATATTTGCGCTACATATGATGTTCCCCTATTATTACTCCATATGCTTGATATTCTAATTTGTGTTAGAGTTTGTTGATTTTGCCAGATACTACAGATTAAGTTTGGGGGTGATTTCTCAATTTACCCTTCTATGCTTCATTTTGGTCTATCTTTGCTGGTTTGCTTGTATGGTAATATCTTTTTAACTCTCTTTTGTCCTCCCATTGAGGACAATGTGCACAATAAGTTTGGGGGTAAGATAAAAATTGAGAAATTTAAAATTCTTGCTAACACAAGGACATGATATGATATTTGATGTTATAAGTATGAGTTTGAGTCTGTTAATTATCATATACTCTATTTGCAGTCTGATGTTGGTTAGACATGGTTTGTATGCTAAAATATTGTGAACAGGGATTCTTGAAATTTTTTGAAATCTGTTGGTGGCCTGTGATCCACTTTGTTAGGATGATCATTGTTTAATGAAATTAATCTCTGGGATGCTACACTTTGCACATATTCACACTTGCATGAATTCTGTGGAGTAAAAATTAGAAGTCTTGTTTTGTTTTGAGTTAGACTGAGATAAGCAGGCGGATTTGATAATTTTGATAACCAAGGCATAAAAAATAAAAAATAAAAAAAAGGAGAAAAGAAAAAAAAAATATAGAAAAAAATTGGTATGTATGCAATGCAATGAAAGAAAAAATTTTCTTTACCAATGTGAATGAAACAAAATAGAAAAAAGTGAAGAAAAGAAGTAGAAAAGGATCAAGTTCAGGTTTGTACCTAGATTACTTGAGCAACTAAGTCCTTAGGGGTGTGTTTTAACACCTAATGCCCTAAGACCATCTGGTCTGGGAGTCGTTGGCTGAAAGCTTGTTACATAAGGGGTTTAAGTTGCCTAGATTAC